CTTTTTTGCGGGGGGGGGGGGGTGGTGGTGGTGGTGGAATATGTGGGCCTTGCTCCTGCCAAGGCCTCCCAGCTGCTCATATTTGTTTAAGTTTAACCTTAGTTGATCCACTGGAAAAGGAAACAGTCTAGTGTGTCATGCCAAGAGACATCTGCTGCTCTCTGGAGACCTCCTCAACACCCCAGAAATCTGACACTACTTGCTCACGAGGCTGACTACTCCCAAACTCAGAAACCTTCTGCCTCGAAGTAAGCGTAAATGATGGAGCAAGTCCGTGCCTCATATCAGCACATCATGCCATCAGTGCCACCCTGGGACACCTGATGGGAACTCAGTCCCACTGCAGATTTTCACTTGCGGTGTCAGGGGAGGCAACACCACATTTAGCATTAGGTCACATTCCGAAACTAATAGACAAGATTATTTTCTCTGTAAGTGCACCTATGGTACACACACGGAATCCAACAATTCCATGGTCCATCCAAACAGCCCAAGACCTACCCATGGGGCCACAGAATTGAAAGTGCAGTTGCAGTGTTTTCACAGATGAGGGCTCTAAGGCCCCCAGGTCTGCAGTGGTCTGCCTCAGGAGGCTGGAAAGACTTTTGCCAGGAGTGGGAGGAGCTGGCTCTGCTCCCCTCTAGCTGTGTGGCCTTGGCTGTGGTGACTTCACAGCATCTAAAACAGCAGGTTGACTGCATGGTTCTTCAGAAAGAACCATGTGACAGTGCCGTACTACGATGGCATCTGTCATCCTTGGGGTGCAGCACAGCCCTACTTGGTGCCTCCCCTGCTGCTGCTGCTGTGTGTAATACCCACTCTTTGCACACATGCCTGCAAGGTCCCTTAGGGAAGCTCATTCTATAACCTGGAAAGGTAGCCGGGGAGAAGGGTGCAAAATGACCAACATGTCATATACATGACATACCAAACCAGTCTCCACCCTCGTGATGCTATGGTCCATAGCGGTACTTTTTCTGAGATGGGTCTATAAGATGGACCCCAATAACTACCCCCTTAAGAAGCCCAGACCCTCACCTGGCCAGACATGGTTCTGCTCTCCCTTCCTCCCCATGAGTGGCTGTGTGAAGCGGCTCAGGTCTTGGCAGGTCTGCAGGACAGAGGAGGGGCAGCCAACTTACTGACGACGACTGATTACTAATCCACAGGAGCCCAGAGGTATGAACTCTGGTGTTCCTTCCTCCAACTTGGCCATCAGAAACTTTTGCACTCCCCAACTCACAAATCCTACATCCTACAAGTCAGGTCCTGAGCAGTGAACAAGCCATAGACAATTTGAATGAGTTCTCCAGAGGAAAAAAAACACCGAGTGAGCCAGTTCCATACAGCATACCTGGGGCCTCAGGAAGCCCTGAGTTCACAGCTGCAAATAGCTCACGTGACTATCGGCAGTCAGAACACCGCTGCCTGGTGGCACTGCATGTTGAGGCCACAGAGAGGATGACCCAATACCATCCAACCAAGGTTCTGCTTAACAGTACTCCCTGGATAGGCTGATGGCTGCTGAGTCCACCATCTCTAGGAATGTTCTAATGGTCAGCTGTCTATGGCTCCTTGCCCAAGGTGCAGCATCCCTGGTGAATGCAGGAAAGGGGACCTGGGTTACAGGAGCACAGGCTCCTCTATACCAGCTTCTTATTTAACAATCTGCAGGCTGTGATAACCAGCAACAAAGGGAACGCTCCACGGCCCAGAACTGGAGCTTCCTGGCCCGCCCTGCCTGGTGGGCCTTAAAACCCAGGCCAGAGAATGTTCTGATTGCTTGCTGGGGAAGCAGACACTGACAATGAAGGCCTTCAATAGCACTCATTCACGCCAGTCATCGATGAAGAAAGGGAGGCAGATGCCAGGAGCTTAACACACCACAGAGATGTCGGGGGAAAGAAGAGGGCAAAAAGAAGGGTGGAGACAGGGAGGAGGGAGGCATGTGGAAGAATCTGCAAGTCACAATTACAAAAACCACAATCCACCAATCTATCATGATTGTAAGACATCATGGGAGTCTTATAATTATGTGAATTACCCAGGCAATTCCCTAGGAAAGATGCCTTGGCATCTGAAAAACTCATCGAGATGCAAGAACTGCATCAAAACGCAAGCTACAGAGTCTTGCCACATCAGGTAGCCCTGGCTGGCCTGGAAATCACTCTGCAGCCCAGGCTGGCCTCAAGCTTGAGATTCTACTTTGGAGTGCTAGGGTTACAATAGTGCACTACCACACCCAGCTGAAAGTCAAGATCTTTATGAGCTAGTATGCTCTGTTCCTAAAAAAACTATACACAAGTTTAGGCATGGTGGCTCATACCTGTAATCCCATCCAAGAAAGTAAGGCAGGAAGATTGCCTGAGTTCAAGGCTACAAAGCAAGACACTATCTCAACCTCCCCCTCCCCCCAAAATAAGAGAAAAACATACCTAAGGCTAATATACTTTTCTTGGCAAATAACAGGTGGGAAAAAACTACCCAGTATTTCTGCTCTCTGTCTCTCAGATCTTGCTATATACTGTAGGAGCCTTGAACTTGTGATTCTTCTCCTAACTCCTGAGTGCTGGGGTCACAGATGTGAACCACTGTGTCTAACTCAACGGTCTCATCCTGTGCAGTCATGTGTGGCTTCTGGGGGACAAGGTATTTAGAATATAGTACAGGACCAGGAGAGAGATCTTAAGCACATTATCTGACATCTTTCTGCCTTATTATTCTTTCCTGTAATTTGGACTGTTGAGGGAATTAGATTAAACATGGGAAGTGTTTGGATCCATGCCAGGCTCGTGTCAAGCTCTTGGGGGATGCCGGCAATGGTTATCTGCCACGAAGGCTTCACTACAACACACAGGTCACAGATGAAACATAGACAGCTTCTCGGCCCCTCACAGGTCTGTCTCAAAGATCAGCAAAGACACTGAATCTGAAACAACTCTAAAGATACAAAGCATCTCTGAGCATCTATTAATGTTACCATTCTCACACCTCTTGACAGCAGAGGAAGAGGCAGGGGAGATGTGGAAAGACAGCTGAAACCAGAAATGGAGGCAAGGCCCTGGCTGCCCCATACCCACCGATCCCATCAGTAAGCACGTACACTGTCTGCCTTCAGGGACACCTAGGTGATACAAAGATGAAGGTGCCAGCTTCCTCAGTGCTGCCTGAGGCTGCTGGGAGAGCCTGACATATCCCGAAATAATTAGAAGACAAAAATGAACAGATGCTTTAAGAAGGTAGACATCAAACATGCAGAAGTCAGTTGTGATGAATCCAGCGGCTTCTCAGAGTGGCTCTGACCTGGGCCATCGAAAGAATGAGTCCTCACTAGGCTCAAGAGGCAGGTATACCTGAGTAAAGGTAGAGCACACGCCTCATGCCCAGGGCCTGTGGCACAGCAGAGAGCAGGCAGATCCAAGTGCTTCCTTCTGATGACCGACCCAGCTTCCACACCTGCACAGCCTGCCTTCCACGACACAGCCACAGACAGGGAAGACTGTCCTCTCCCCGTACATCAAGGCTAGTGCTCCACTGAATAGGACAGCAGACTAATTCCCAGTCTGGCATGTTCTGATCTTTATTCATTCTGGGTGTTCTTGTTCCCTTCCGTGAGCTGTAGAGGTGAGGGGTCTTCTGTGCTGCATGTTAATGACTGTGATGCTCCATGGGCATCTCAAGGGCTTTGGAATAATAGCATCTTAACATTTGAGCACTCCAGTTACTTCTGCCCATTTAAATTAGGGCTGGAAAACACAGCTCATGTGAGGTACCAACTCTAATCAAGTCTCAGGCCCAGAGGAAGCTAGAAGACCCAGGCTGCTAGACTGGCCTCCTTTCTGCCATTAGGACTGGGCTCTCCAGTGTCTAGCCACAGTGTCCGGCATCCCCGACCACACGAGCCCAGCAGAAGTCCCAGCACACAGCTGTTCCTGGAGGGCACAGGCCTGACCCAGGAGGAGGACCTGACTGGATGACCTGACAGGCCATAATCTAAGTAAGACTAGAAAGAGGTGAAATGGAAGTCAGGAGGTTCAAGTGACAGTCCACCCTGTGCCTTTCCTTCTTGGGGTCTCCTTCAGAGCACAGACAGCTGTGATGCTGCACAGGGCTTTGAGACAGTCCAGTGTGAATCTAGGATCAGATCCTGTCTCTGTGGAACCTCCCAGTTCTACAAGGTCAAGACCGTGAATGGCGGCA